AGAATATCACAAACGAGAGATTCAGTTCAGTCTCTCGTGAAAGCCAAATTGATTTGCAAATGAGTGTATTTCTAGAGAACAGTCCAATTTGGGTTCAAGTAGATCATAAGGTTGATGGAGACTCGGGGACTGCGCCTACCTGATGAGCCCGAAATGGAAGGTCGAAACCGGTCGTGGGCTGTCGAAGAGTTTTCAGCAACCTTGTGAGTAGTTTCCGTTGCGAAAGTAAAATTCTCTTAGAGTATCGTGAAGAGAACACGACACGGATCAACCTAGTCATTGGGCTTTTCAAGTTTGCGTACGTAGGGACCGTGAACGTCCTCTCTTTTGTTCTGGCATCCGTGTCCGTCGGTAACACCTCCCAGAAAAGTTCATGTGGTTACTCTTCACATGAGTACCGTTAAGGTGAAGCAATCTCCGCTGTAATATGGACCAATCGGTGAAATCTTTCCGGTAAAACAGCTTTTTTGGTTAAGACACCCGTTGGTCCTTTCCCCGTAACCATTAGACTGCGGGTGTAGGACATCATAACAGTGAGTTATCACCTCACGGATGAAACTAATCACAAGGCTGCTGAAAACTGTTCAACAGTTCACGACCGGTTTCGCCCTTCTTGGACCTCACTGGATGTACGAGCTTCCGTCAAACCTACGTTCTACTTGAACTCGAATTTGCGAACTGCATTCATTTGCACCATTTCAGTGGGTATGCTATTCGAGAAAAAATCGAAAAAAAACGTTCAGCTGTAGCACCCCTTCGGTGCCTAACTGCCATGCCACCCGAAGGAAGCACGAGGGCTGGGATACTGCCAGGTTGCCCAAGCCTAGACAGGAGAAGTCGAGTGGCAAAGGTCGGGTTCGAACCACGGACCTTCCGGTCAGTAAATTCGCACTCTAACCACTTGGGCCATCTCGCCCCCTGCTATTCGAGATGTCACATGATACTTACCTGGATGAAACTGAAATATCAGCTGACCTTCGTGCATTGAATACTGAAGAGTATTACACACAAGAGATTCAACTTGGATTTGGTTGTCTCCCGTGAAAACCAAATTGGTGTGCAAGTGAGTGAATTTCTGGTTCAAAATAGTCGGGAAGAAATTCCATGACATGGCAAGGAAAAAGGAACACGAAGTTCCATATCGTGCGACGATTTAAGCTAGAATTGGACAGACGTCACCTGAAAGTATCCATGAAAACAAGTCAAGTGATAGAAACATAGATACGTATATTTCACATAGATATTCTTAGTGTTTTGAGAAAACCTTTCGACTGGCCAGTTCAGCAGCTCTTCGACCAAGAGCTTCCGCTTTGGCCACCAATAAAAGTTCAGGAGAAGTTTGACAAAATGCAGATCGTCGTCGGTTATTTGACGAATGGGGTGTCGATGCCGATCGATTGTCTACGGATGTGTTCAAGGGAGTCAAAACTTTCCGGCCGGATGGCTTAGGGAGTCTTGGAGACTCGCTTATTTGCGTGCGGTGTTCCAGGTCTTTCATATCGTCACCGTCATCGGGAAAGAGATCATGGATACGGTCCGTCCGTATGCTCACCGGATTGGGACTGGGAACTGAGGGCGACACCACCAAGGGTCGCCTTGACGAACTTGTTGAAGTTGAGGAAGCATTGGGAGTGGTTGACGTAACCATGGGCGAAATTGTTGGCGTTCGAGCCGCGATCTTCCTAACAGATCTGCGAAGAAATGAAAGCGATACCGGAATAGAAGTCACAGAAGTACGAGGCAATAGGACAAGGACACAGATTAAAACCAAGAACAGGCTTTACTTCCCTAGCTAGAGATGATCACGCACACACATCTACTCAAGGGAGTCTGTCCCCCGATATTTTACGGAACCCTAAGACCTCTTATTGGGACTACTGCATGCGACTACAGCAATTCAGACTGCTTTTTCTCCCGACAGCGCATAAAAATCACACAAAAAACCTGAGAACACAAAATCCGGTATATCTCGAAAGAGAAAGAAGAAACTAGCGAATATACACCCATTTGCGAACTAATTTGAACCCAGCTGAATCTCTCGTTTGTGATGTTTTCAGGCAACTGAATGTGCTGCACCAGGCCGCCTCATGTTTCAGTCGCTACGATATTCGAGATATCGCGATACATGCACATCTTTGTAATGTACTACTCATAAGGTTGCTGTCGACGGATTTTCAGCAACCTGATGAGTAGTACGTTGGAGAGCAGAAACCATCGTCAGAAGTAACCAGTCAACTAGTTATACTGTCACTTCCTTATAACTACTAGATAAAGTTAGACTCACAAATGTACCTGGATCTCCCGTGATCTTGAAATCTTTCTAAATTTGAACTAATAACCTCACAAAACTATGCCCACGGTGGCACAAATCGAGTGGAGTTGAGTAAGTTTAGCTGTAGCACCCTTTCGGTGCCTAACTGCCATGCAACCCGAAGGTTGAACGAGGGTTAGGATACTGCCAGGTTGCCCAAGCCTAGACAGGGGAAGACGAGAGGCGCAGGTCAGGTTCGAACCACGAACCTTCCGGTCAGTAAATTCACGCTCTAACTACTTGGGCCATCTCGGTAAGTGTGTATATTGCGACAAAATGCAGCTAAAACCGGTGCACGGTGAATGACAGCTACTCACATTCTCCAGTGCATCTACAGCCCTTCTCACGGAAACGTGGGACACAAAACGTGGACACAAAATAAGGTGAGCGCTGGTTCCATAAGAAGATCCGCCGTCCAGACAGAGATCACTCCCGGAGGGGATTAGCGTGATCCATCGATAGTATCCTGTGCCTTCGCATGGTGACGAAACATTTACAAGCTAATTACCATGCTTGGCGGACAAATCACCTGATCAAAAGCTAGTAAACGCACCCGAGCTCTTCTACCTGAGATTCAGACGTTTACAGCTGAATTTCTAACCAGGAAGTTGGAAAGCTGCACCGACAGAAGTTCACTTAGACCATACGTATGAGATTAGCCTAACCACGTTAGAACCAGACGAGGATGTAGACAGGTAGGAGATCCTTGAACACACAAATTACCTGAGATTACAAGAGGAATCCCTTCTGGTTGCATCACTACTTATAGGGTTGGCGAAAACTCCACACTTAGTTAGGAGTAGTGAAAACCTAGAGGTAGACAAAGGATCTGACATGGCGGAAGGGGATGAAGGACGTTACGAGAAGGTTAGGTGCTGTTCCCCTTTCCTGATGGGATCCACGTGACTTTCCCTGAGCTTAGCTAACCGATGTCAGTGGTTTTCCTGCTGGCAGTTTTTGTCTAGATTGTCTGGTTCTGGGTCTTTCTTTTTCGTGTTGTAAGGATTTACTGAAATAAATTCACACGACTGTATGATAGTGAAGTACCGGAGTTCTCATCTGGTGTTGCTATCAGCAATGATTATGAGAGGGAGGTCAGTGGTTCGAACCCAACGTCGGCAACTCGACTGCCTCTGTTTAGGCTTGGAAAGCCTGGTTTGGTCCTCACGTTTCCTTCAGACAGGGTGGCAGCTAAGCACCGACGAGGTAATACAGCTGAATGATTTATTTGTTTATTGAAATTTTATTTCTCCCATCTATTTGTGTCGAACACAAGCCTTGTTCACTGAAACTTCCCTTGTATTTAACACGGCCTAGTAGTCCTTGAAGTGACCTCAGCAACGCACAACTAAACTGTTTGGTGACCTGCTACCGAATAAGTAAGGTTGACTGATCTACTCGACTCAGATCTGTTTTCTGTGGCTGACGTCGTGTAAATTACATCACAAGGAGGTGAGCAGAACAATCCACGAACCTCACAAACTGTTTTGGAAAGTGATCCAATTCATCTGTGGATGGGTATGGTGTGTGGTGTTGTTCCGTGTCGAACAGAAAAAATTTCGCGTTGGCCAGCAACTCATGGCATTGAATAAAGTGGTATTCTTTTTAATTTATTCATATCATACGAACCATATGAACGTAATCAGTCAACCAATTCAATTTATCAGCCACAAATCGTGTACCACAAGCACATTGGTTCCCGCTGTTACAGTTTCGATCACCGCAGACTGTGGGGCGTACAGTCGAGGATTGAAGGCGATGGCATGCTCAATCAGTTCGGGAATCGGGTAGCTAAGCCGTGAAGGCGATAGCTTTGATGCGTGTGTGCCACTGACTGCGCGACTGGGCCATCTCTGCTGGTGCCATTAATCACTGGTGAGTTGAGTCACGCGGTCCCCATCGATTGAAGGCGGCACTTACCGACCCGACTCAGTTTTCATACTTCGTTGCCAAGTCATACACTGTCCACCTATCGGTCACTTCAACTCAGCGCAGGACAGGGCGAAAAGAACTCTGTGAGGCAGGCGCTCTTCTGACATGCGATATACATGTCCTAACCAGCGTAACGTATGAAGCGTGAGTAACTCATCCATCGCGGGAGAGTTCCTCCTTCCTGGCGTACCTTGTTACTGATCCGACGTTCCCACCAGACCCGACCAATGCCTCGGAGACACCGATCGTCAAACACTTACACCTTTCGTATGTCCTCTGAGCGTCTGTGATCCATGAAGTGGTATGGATCGCAATGTTGTAGTGTAAACTCTTCCCTTGACAGACAAACAGACGTCATGTTGGGGGATGGAAATTTCGCATATTTGTAGACAATGTGATGCTGCACTGGGGGATATCCATTTTTTCCATCATTGGTACACCTCCGCGCAGCCAATTTAACCACTTATTCGATTTCCGCGGTGGTTCAGCTACAATGCCATTCAGCGGAAACACAAAGGTTGAACCACTGCCAGCTTGCTCAAGCAGGGGTAGTTGGGATGCCCGGGTTGGGTTCAAACTACAGACCTTCCGGTCAGGTTGCAACCAGTGAGCTATTTCAAGCTCCAAGTGATTTCCACAAAGATCTCGCTGATGTGAGATCAACGTATTCCAAATGGCATTGGATCTGCATTCCGAGGAGTACTAGGAACATCATACCTTACAGTCGCCGGCTTCGATTTCCCCTCTGCATTGGCAGATATCGATCGCGTTGTTGAGGTTGAGTCTTTGCAAACTTTTGACGTGGACACAGGACGACCACGAGATCGCTTGGAGGCCAGCGGTGTGGTTTTCTTTGTGGATGTGTCTGTCTGGGCATTGGGTACCTGGGGTGCAACGGAGGAAGAGAGAATTGAGAGACAAGACCTTTGTTAAGACCAAATGGATGTGCAACTGAGCATAGTTTGCGAACTGCGTGGAAACATAGTTACCAACAAGTCGGATGTGGAACGACGGAGCGGGCGGCCGAATAGAAGCCCGAAACAGATTTGTTCATACATTTGCCAGGCAGACTTTCATGCTTGGTCTCCGGAAGGTATCGAAAAGTGTTTTTCCAACAGTCAAGAATTGTGACGGTGTGGGCCATTTGTATAGCAGTTTGGTTTTCATGGAAGACTCAGTGGGATCCTAGCGGAATCGCTGGTTTGCGATAATCCAAGGCCTTTTTTGAGACCACATGGGCGTGCAACTGAGCATAGTTTGCGAACTGCGTACGATTTGGGTTCAAATGGAACATAAGGTTGACGAAAACTCGGGGAATGCGCCTGGCTGGTGAGCTCCAAGAAGGGTAAAATCGGTCGTAGGCTGTCGAAGAGTCTTCACTAACCTCATGAATAGAGTTATCCCAAGAACATATGGCCTAATTGGTTGTACCTTTGCAACTCACGATAAAAAACGAATTAGAGTGATACATGAGTTCCGAAAAATTCCGGATTCCTCAGAGGTCAGATGCCGAATAATACGTTCTGTAATTCCGTCTTGTAAAAAAGGCACAAATCAACGAGCTTATTTCACAAGACTTTGGATAAAAGGGCACGTTACTACTTATCAAGGTTGTTCACCTGTTTGCCTGAAACACGTGGAACGCTCGAAAAAAAGCCATATTACAAACAAAAACACGTCAATGTGTGATAAATGAGCGACTGATAGTAAAAGTTATAATCGTTCAGCTGTAGCACCCCTTCGGTGACGAACTGCCATGCCACCCAAAGAAAGCACAAGGGCTGAGATAATGCCAAGTTGCCCAAGCCTGGACAGTGGATGTCAAGATGCACAGGTCGGGTTCGAACCACGGACCTTCCGGTCAGCAAGTTCACACCTTAACCGCCCAGCTATCTCGAGCGAGGTAATGCTGTCTTAAAGTCTCCTGAAGGCGCGTTCTGAAACGAGGAGACTGACAACAACAAACCCGGTTGAATGTACAACTTCCCTTTGGCACAGATTATCATAAGGGTCCGACTCAAATTTGGTTCCGATGAACGGAACGTCTATTGACACTTGGCCTGAATTTCGACTTTAACGGGTCACATAAGCAGCTGCAGTCGAAGAGTGTTCAGACAAACGCCTTTAGGTCACATTCTGGCACACAACTTCCATGATAAACACTTAAATTATAGCGTACACAGTACATGGGAACTAACCGCCGAGGGGGACTCGGTACTGGACCGCTTCCCAGTCGGTCCAACTTTTCGGGAACCAGAAGCTGAGGTGGTATGTTTGCAGATTGCCGTCAGATGCTGATGCAACCGCCGATAATTGGGAGTTTCGTCATAAGCCAAACGATCAATTTCACGAGCGAACGCAGACAGTTCTGTAGGAGGGGATGGGAAGATACTAAAGCATAAAAACGGTTGGTCTTCAAATGAAAAAAGGAAAAAAGAAGGATTAATATACAAAAATAATAACAGGTTCCCCAGAAACGCAACCTCTGAATGTACATCAGGGGACACATCATCGTCATCAAAGCATGACATCAGTGTTCAACACCGATGCTTCACTACCGTACAACCATGACATATTTGAAAGCCTTATTGTAAAGAAAACAATAAGGGTGAACGGGGAAGGGACTAAGTGCTAGCTTACTACAGTCATTTCGAGAAGCCGATATCTCCAGACACTCACTCTGGAAATAAACTGACAATAAGAACGCCACTGATTTCGCGATTAACAGCCATATCTTGTAGTGTCTCCAACCAGGCGCAGTGGGGACCACGCGGTCCCCATCCTGTAGGGCGAGTAGCAACGACAGCACCCAAACGTTTCGTAATCTCCCTCACACCCCTCCGCCACTCTGACTGAGTTGGGCATGGAAAACAGCATTCTGTTCGGCAAAGAGCGCTGCAACTACACGCATCATGTTTGTGAGGATGGAAAGGAATATGGAAGAAATACCGAAACTCTATGGCTTAGTGCACTTCTTCAATAAGAAACTATGAAAATCCGCCATTGATGTATCTACTTTGTGGTAAAGCTGATAGAAGAAGCTTCGCTCCCGACTCCCGCTTCGAGCGATTTGAATGACGTACAATGAGAACAATTTCAGGTGGACACAGAAATTTATGGACCCAGCAGGGGCGGCTCTTCCCCGCAGTCATTATCATCCACACCATAGCATTAGTCCTCAACAGGGACACCTCGCTTCCGTACTATCCTGATTTATTTTAAGGCTTTATTGTGAAGAAAAGAATAAAGGTGGACGGGGGAAGGGAATTAGTGAAAGCTTACCACGATCATGCCTACACCTCCAGACACTCATTCAGACAACCCGGAGAGAAGACCAATGACATTGTCTTCATCCAGATACAGTGGGGATCACGCGGTCCCCATGGTGCAAAACGAGTTACAGGGACAGTACCTAGGCTTTTCTTTCTTGAATCATAAATTTCCTGCTAACGTTTAATTCAGCATTATGATGAAGGGTCCTTTCCTTCCGACACTAGTTGAACACAACTAGCCCACTGCTGGAAAATCCCGAAACTCGTAGAAAAACCCAACAAAACCGCTCAACGGTTGAGGCCCCGCGGTGATGAATAGATCACGGACCACAAACTGCACCTAAGGTAGAAAACCACGAGTAAATGAACCATAGGGGTAAAATGGATGAGCTATGTCCACCAAAAAAAACGGGGACGTCAGATCCAGACGTACCAGTGTACGAGGACAATCCCGAGTGCGCACAAAGTTCCCCAACATTTTGCATACTCTTTTCTTTCAAAGCAGCCACATCCATTTTGATTCGATCCGGAACGTTCTGTCGGAGTTTTGGGTCTGAGATTATTATGGAAAGCAAGAAAGTGTGAGAAAGAAAACCCTATGAGAACTGAGAAGGGAAATGTTTCTGTGAAATACCAGCTTGTATGACTCGGTTGAACTACAGGCTGTCTCCTAATAAACGCAAAATTTGATTGGGTAAGTAACCGTAGCCAGAGGAAGGATGGCAAAAATTTTCTTTATTAGTAGCCAAATAAAGGAGGTTTTGTGTGCGAGTGTTGGCATTTTGTTCTGTCTACGATGAATGTCAGTACGCGCATTGAAATTGTGAAACTCTATCACTCCCTTGGTGAAGGGGCCACCGCTGCATTTCGTGGTTACAAAGCCAAATAAGGTCTCATCAAAGATCCGTTCACCGTGCCGACTATTACACGCTTGATTGTGAAATTTGAGTCCACTGGATTTGTATTGGATTTCCCTGACAAAGGGAGAAAGTCACTGAGTGATGAAAGAGCGCCCATTGTACAGAATGCCGTCGAGCAACTTCAGTCCCAGAGCACCATGGCATCTTCGTCAATAACTCAGGTGTCTCAGTTGACCGGCATTCCCCGCGCCAGCGTGCATCGTATTATGAGACGCCACCTTCATCTCTACCCGTATCATTTCACTTTATTACAAAACATCACGAAAGAAGACAAGGAGCAACGTGTCACGTTCGCTAACTGGCTGCTGGACAATGAAAAAAATCGTTCGCAACATTTTATGGAGCGATGAAGCAAATTTTTCTGTGGATGGCATAATCAACTAGCAAAACTGCGTGATGTGGTCCCGTGAGGCTCCTCACGAGTACCTCACCCATAATCTCCATTCCCCTCATCTCTGTGTGTGGATGGGACTCTCCTCAAAGTGTCTCCTGCGTCCGTTTTTCTTTGGTGCTACGGTTTCCGGCGACAGTTTCCTCCAAATGCTGCAGACGCATGTTATCCCGCAACTCAAGCAGCACAAGAAGTCATTGACCGTCTTTGAACAAGATGTCACTCCACCCCACTACTCAAACCAAGTGAGAACTTACCTCCGAGAGCAATTCTCTGATGAGAGAGTCATTGCTCGTGGATTTCCAAACTTTTAGCCCGCAAGATCACCCGATCTCACACCTCTGGATTATTAGTTATTGGAAATGATCAAGGCTCGCGTATATCATGAAAATAAACCGAAGAATTTGGTGTAATTAAGAGCAAGAATTGAAGAGGAGTGTGCACGAGTGACGCTTGAAGAAGTTAAACATGCTGTGTTTCACATCTCATACCGCCTCCAACTTGCTATAGAAGAAAGAAGTGGTTTCTTTCAACATCTTTTGTAATGCCAGTTTGTTCACAGTAAACCTCCATGATGCATGTATGTCCACATAAAAAATGATAAATGTTTGAATTGGTGTTGAAGTTTTACCATGCGTATTATTTTTTTGCGCCTATTATGAGATACCTTGTATATGAGAACTAACAACGCTGTGGAAACAAAAGACGATGATAAATCCAGCTGGGAAACCGACGACAGAAAGAGAGTGAAGGTGCAGATAATGCTGAAAGGCGAAGAACTGAAGAGCTAAACTACCAGCAGAATCCGAGTTCCACTTTTTTTCACAACATGAAAGCTTCTAGTTTAAGAGATCTGAGTCTGTCTAGGTGAAATTTCTACAATTCTATTAGGTGCACAATTGATGTTCATGGGCTGGAACGGACTACTGTGATGGGTCGTGTGAACCATTCTTGAATGTGAGAGCTTGAGTGGTTTGGTGTTTAGGGCATTCACTTACAGACATGAAGGTCCGTGGTTCGAGCCCAAACTAGACATACCGACTCCCCCGTCAGTGGTTGGGAAATCTGGCAGTAGCTCAGCAGTCGTGCTTCCTTCGAGTAGCATGGCACCTGAGGACCGAAAGGGTGCCACGAAACCCAGAGGAGCCATGAGGGTTGAGCTAATACCAGGTCACCTAAGACAAGACAGCAGCAACCGAAGTGCTAGAATTTAGTTCAAACCATGGACCGCGTGACTGAACTGTCTCGAGTTCAAAAACGTGGAAATCAACCCAGGGGTTTGAACCGGTGAATCTCTGTATAATGGAAGGACTGTAATTTTTTGAAAGAGAGTGAGGTATCTATCGTCCA